ATCGCTGTTGAATTTTCTCGAAAATTTTCAACGCTGGTCGGAAAGTAACGCGAGAAATTAACGTAAATTAACGGGCGTGTACCGCAACCGCAGGGTTGGCAATTTTTCACGCGGGCGTTCGAACCGCCGTCTTCCCATTTATTCGACCTGCGAACGATTTCCGCGGACGTGGTTCCGCGATTTAATTAGGGGGGCAAACACCGTGTACACGAGCGCGATAAAACTGATTTACAAACATTTGCGCGGTTTCGTGCTTGGACGATCGGGAAAAGTGCAGAAACGGGGGGAGAAAACGTGGAAATATCGAATCGCGGAATTAATTGAAAAATGAATGTGTGCGGCTGAAACGCGGCGGGGGGCTGTTCAAGGCCTCCGACGAACAACGAAAGGAAAATTCGGCCGCTCGATACGTGAACATTGCTTGTTAATATAAGTATAAAACAAATAATAGTTGAAATATAAAATACATAATAAATAGGTTCTTAAACTCTAAATCGGTTATTATCAGTTGACAGTTATTATAATTAATTTGTAGTTTAATATAATTTTAGTTGTATTTAAATATAACAGATGGCCTGTTTGTTGATCATAGAAATATAATAAAATATGAATGTCACGTGAAAAGTTCAACGTCGACATGGAGCGCTTTTCTTTTTTAAAAAAAAAAAAAAGACCAGAGTCGTGAGAGAACATTGAAAGAGAACTGTTAAAAAGTGTCAATTGTGTCGTTGAAAAGAATTTATTTGAGTTGTTAATTCGTGTTGTTTTAAAGTAATTTGTCTTGTTTCATTATTTGTTGTCCTATTATCACAATTTTCGTTAAATAAATATTGTTTATATCTCTACGATATTACCATAAAAAATATATAGTATTATCTAAGAATATTTTATCAATGTGAATTAAAGAAGTGCATATATAGCATTGTACAAAGTTTAAGTTGTTTTGGGTTAGGTTGGGCGCGTCGAGTGCGGTACGCAGTGTGTTAATACGTTTTACACTGTGAAACACTATTGCTACGTGGTGACACTGCTCTATTCCCGCTGAATAAGGAACGAGAATGAACCAGGACGATTTTTCTCCTCCGTGACGATCTTCGTTTGCTATACCAACGTCAACTGGTAGTCGTCAGGGGACGAGAAAAATGAAAAACATGAAGGAAGATAGAGAAAAACTGAAAGGGGCTGGGGTATTCCCGCGGTGTCCCTACACACTCGTGCCTCGGCCAGTCGGTGCTACCGCAGCTAAATTAAATCAACGATATCCAACGCGCTATTCTATTCCCCTTCCTCCCAACTTCAAGGCCAGAGCCTCAACCCATTGCGATCTATCTGCAAGTGTTCAATACATTCTTCCTCTTAGAGATAAAGCTCTGCCGAGCTATCAGGCAGAGATACAGCTTCTCTCCCTTTCCCTCCATTGCAATTTCGTACGGGAGGAAACCGAAAACGAGGAGCAGCAAGATCCTCGTAGAAGCGGCGGACCAACGTCTTTGGTATTTAATAAACATTCCAGCCGAAGCCCGCAGTTTTGTTGCGGACCGATGCCACCGGACAAAAGGGCACTAAGAGATGGGGGGAGGGGAGTGAGAGAAACAGACTAGCGCTTCGGGGCTTGAAATTTTTTCGTGGAAAATAATTCGTGGCTGTGGATATAACCCCGAGGGTGGATATAGCCAGAGGTGAAGGAGAGAAGACCAGGTTCAATCTCCATGAAGCTTCGCTTCGTGGAAAATCTGATACGATGCGCGAGAGCCGAAGCGTGTGGCGGGGGTCCGGCCGGACGGCGAGCGGGTGAGCTGCTCTGGTATCCGGTTAGGTTACGAAAGTAATTAAATCGTTAACAGGGGACGAGTTTGTGGCGCAATCGACGAATATGTGCGGGGTTTCCACGACCCCATTCTCCCCCCGTTCGCTATCATCCTCCCTCTCTCCTCCACCGTCGGCTCTTTCGCTGACCGTTTCCCTTGATTCTCAATTTTATTATTTCTTTTGCCAGTCGTAGCCTTTGACTATGGAGGGAGAGGTGGCCCCGATGAAACACGGCTCGTTACGCGAGGAACTGTTAACGAGTCGAATTCGGTTCGGAGGCGGCCGAGTGATCGATTTAGGTACGCGCCGGGGCCACCGCCAGAAAGGGGAGAGAAAGAGAGAGAGAGAGAGAGAGAGAGAGAGAGAGAGAGAGAGAGAGACGGCAATCGATCGCGGGGAATTGTTGCGAATCGTTGAGATCTTGCCAATCTGGTCCGGCGACCAGGATTGCGATTAACCGTTTAAAGAATTAGCGCGGATGGTTTCTTAATTGAATTCCACGACGGATGGGCAAAGGGATTTTAACCACTTGTGCTGGCAACTGATTGCGGACCATAACGAGTGACCAAATCGTATACAATAATTCGTCGCTTTCTTTTTCTTTTCTCGATATGATATCACTGGATAGAAATTATTGAAAAGTGATAAATTTATTATTTATTTCGCCCATTTTGTTTTACTTATAAATATATAATTTTATTTATGATAACTTATTATGCTGTAATATATATGTTACAACATAACCTGTATATGTCTAATATAACCTATATTCTATAATAATATTCTAATATAACCTATATTCTGTAATATATATGTTATAACATAACCTGTTATGTCTAATATAACCTATATTCTAGTTAAACACATTGGCGTTCAGTGTGTTTATTGTTAAATTATATTACAGATTAAAGCTATATTAACTTTTAAATAAGATAAAATGCTTATTATAACTTGTTATGCTGTAATATATATGTTATAACATAACCTATGTTATGTCTAATATGACCTATATTCCAGTTAAATACATTGACATTCAGTGTGTTTATTGTTAAATTACATTACAGATTAAAGCTGTAACTTTTAAATAAGATAAAATTTTTTACAGTGTCAGAAAACGACATTACTTGTAGGTATCCTTACGCTGGCAACTGATTGCGGACCATAACGAGTGACCAAATTGTATACAACAATTTGTCGCTTTCTTTTCGAACTCGTCGGTATGATATCACTGGATAGAAATTATTGAGAAGTAATAAACTTATCATTTGTTTTGCCTGGATTTGCCATTCTTCCTCCAATTCAAATTAAATTGAATTCAACCACTTAGTGCGCAAGAAATCTCAATGACCTCATTGTTAATTGACATCGCAGTACGGGATTAGATTCCAAAGAAAAATTCATTCGGTTCACTCATAACCAACCATTCTTTACTCTCCATAGTTGAAGCACATAAACTACTCTGTAGTTAAATATAATAGTCAAAGAACGACGAAAATAAAATCATTTTCAGACTCCAAAAACATTAGGACAGTAGAACTTACAGAAAATGAAATAAATTTGGAAAACCATTAGGAAATTGTTATAATTTCTTAAATTTATTTTAAAGTTAGTTATATTAAGCTTAGGAGAGGTATATATAGTTTACATTATAGTAATAATAACATTAACTTTGCACAAGGAAGTTAAATTTTCTTTTCGTCGATATATCCACCGCGTTTTTTAATTTCAGCATCCGTTTTATTAGTTTTTCTATTGTTTCTGGTACTATTTGGTTTCATGCATTTTGTAATTTGTTCCATAAGTCATTTTTGGGACTTTGGACACACTTTACGGATTTTCCGATCTAATTCATCCCAAATTTTCTCTATTGGGTTCAGATTGGCGGATTGAGGGGGTCAATGCATTTATTTTTGATTCATCACTCTGTTCTAAATGTTGAAAATAGTCTTTACAAATCCTTGCAGTGTGCTTGGAATCGTTGTCATGTAAGAAAACAAAATTTTGGCCTGTTAATCGCCTCGCATAATCACGTAAAATAGACAAATATTACTCTTTTTTCAGAATCCCTTCGATTTTTATTAACTCACCAACACTATTTGCTCCAATACACCCCCAGACCATTATTGACCGCCCTCCGTGTTTAACCGTGGGTACGATACAGTCATGAATCATTTTTTTTTTCAAATGTCTTTTAAAAACATAAGCTCGCGGTTTGCAACCGAACACCTCAAATTTAGATTCGTCGATCCATAAGACATTTTTCCACTCTTCAACTGATCAATTTCGATATTTCTTAGCCGACTGTAGTCTTTCTACTTTATTTTGTGGCCTTAGTGATGATTTTTTAGCTACGCATCCACGAAGACCAATCTTGTGTACAGCAGGTGTCCTAATACTTTCGGAGGAGAGTGTACGCGCCGGAAACACGAAGCTTACTGTTAGAGATTGATCCCAAACGATTTAAAAAATTCTGCGAAAAGAAATAATTCGTCGAGGGCGTGATTTCGTTGATAGAAAATTCGCGGAAACACGTAGGTGGAGGATGGGTCGAGCAAGGGAACCCCGAGTAGTAGGGGTTGACAGAAAAATGGAAGGGTGAAAGAGAGGCGCGGATAGAGATATTCAGAGAGATGCAGCCGGTTACTTTGCGTTGCTGCGCGAAACCCTACGCGACGCTGAATTTACATAAGCGGCTTTTCTCCGGGGCGGGGCTTTTCTCTCTCTCTCTCTCTCTTGGTCCTAAGCAAATATTGACTGGGACCACTTTCATCTCTCCTCGCCACCTGTCATTCTCAAATGACGCGTGCTTGATACCTGAATGCTTATTATACGCGGTGCTGATGAGACGATAAATAGAAGAGAACAGCCAACAACAATAAGCTCGCGTGTCCGAGTGTTGTTTAGACTGCAGAGCACGCGTAGGACCGATCGACTCGTTCACGATGCGTGATTCAAGTATAAATTTCATTCCGCTTTCTTTCTTTTCTTCTCGGCGAGAAGACATAGAAATCTATGAGCTAAAGATAGAAAGAAAGATCCGCTGTCACTTTTGCACACAGCCTGCAACGTCTATTGACGCGATTATTTAGATGATAATGACCGATTGACGGTAGCAAATGATTTGAATCTGAATACCAACTGCATACTGAACTGATGCAACAATTTATTTATTTTTTTTTTTTTCTTTCCAGAACGCAAGCTGTTCGTTGGCATGCTGTCGAAGAAGTTCACCGAGAACGACGTTAGGAACATGTTCAGCGTTTACGGAACCATCGAGGAATGCTCGGTGCTGAGGGACAGCACCGGAAAAAGTAAAGCCTGTGCCTTCGTTACCTTCGCTAGTAAACAATACGCCATCAACGCCATTAAGGCTCTTCATCACTCGCAAACGATGGAGGTGAGTGGAATTGAAACGTGCAATTGTTCCCTCTTCCTATCCTAGCTACTTAACTCTTGCCGCCACAATGTGTCCTTCCCCTCCCCGTTCCGATTGTCCTTAAAACGACGACGACAATGGCACTTTGTCACCGAACTTTGCTTCTTCCATTCACCATTCAAGACTGACTCTTCAATCCGCGAGAATTCCCTTTTATCCCCGGTTCTTATATTATACTAATTATATACAGCAGTTTTTTTTTTTTTTTTTTTTTGTACAAAATTCGTGTCGCTCGTGCGAGAACAATTATGCATATATCGCCGCGTATAGCGGCGCTTACTAGTAGAATCTGTTCCCTATCGTAACTTAATTTCTAATTAACTTTGTTATCCACGGCTAATCTCTCGTCGAAGATTAATTTCGCCGGGGCCGATGCGTTCTGATAACGCAGAGCCCGAAAGAAACTTTGCATCCCTGCCAAAGTTTCATCCATCATTTAACGCGGGACATCCTGTGCTAGCAAGGACAGGCTTTGCCTAGTTGTTGCACGCCCCCTCACACGATGCGAAGATGTAAGAAAGAGAGAGGAACGCGATACTTGCAAAAAGTATCGATATTCGAAAGTCGATAATTAATACCGTTCCGTGCCACAGTTGATTTTGATTGTGAAACGAAGAATTCTTGAAAAATTTGTTACAAAGTCGTGTATTGACATCTTAACAACGTGTTCATCCTTATATTAGAGCGTATTTTTCCGATTGACTAAACTCGGTAAGAAGACTGTAAAATTTGTTATCAAAATGAGTATTATTAGTATTGTCGTATAGTATTACATAATTTATATAACAAGTATTCTAAATGTAGTATCATATAATTTATATAATAAATTATTATTTAGTAATAATAAATTATTATTATTAATTTATTATTGTATAATAAATTATTGTTATTATTATAGTAATAACAAATAAACAATAATACTAAAAACATTTGGAACAAAATGTCTTATTTGAAATGAATTTTGGCATCGTTAGGAAATTATCTGTAAAAATAATACCTTAAAATGAAATTAGTTGCTTTATCCTGTAATACATTTTTAAGAGCAGACACATTTCTTGGTAATTATAATTTTTGCGCTATAAAAATTGTAAGACATAGAAGCAAAACTACCGCCACGGAACGTGTTAATAATTGATAATCTGAGATTAATTGAGATAACTCGTTAGACTTGCCCAAATATTCGCAATTTTGTTGAAATAATCCAGTAATGGTCATCCGAGCTTGAAAATGCTACGAATTCTTCAAATCCTTTAAAATCCGTGGTTCAAGAATGAGTTGTTAACAACTTTACCGACCGGTAGCGGTCGATAGGTTTGCCGATTAATAGGCCACCGGTCGGTAAAGTGAATTTTTTAAATTTTTGTAAAATGAAAATTTAACTTTCTAATTTTTTTCTTTCATGGGTGTCGTACTCTTTGGAAGCTTGTTCTGAAGTTAACAACCTTTTAAGCTTACTCCATAAAAGTCAAAAATTCACTTTTTGAATAATAAGAATTACATGTCACAAGGGTGAGGCATCAGGATCTTAGAGATGCTTAAAAAGAAGAAAAAAAAGACTGAGAACCTTCTACATTTGCCAATAAATTCTCTTGAGTTGTCACGATTACTCACGGGTAAAAAAAATTATGGTTTCGACTTGGAAAGAAAAAGCAAACAATCCTACGGAGTACGTACTTAAATTTTCAATTTTAATTCTCTGAACTGAATAGTGACAAATACTTCTATATACAATGCTTTACACGTGGCGTACAGTTATAATAACCAGTGTACACCGAAGACTGAGAAGAAAATCGCAAGGGCAAGGGATTAATACTTAATCAGTCGTTCCCTGTCCGTTTCGCGGGAACTCTATAAAAGTTTCAACAAAAGTATCGAGCAATTCGATACTTGGGAAGATAATAGAGCGGGTAGTAGACCCTTCGAAGTCAATTCCACGCGCTCTACGGAATTGTTTCTCTTTCCTTTCCCTCCCCCTCGTGTCTCTGATGGCACGCTCGCAACCTGGTAAACCCGGTGAAAGAAAATCGTGCCAAGGCACGCGGTCGCGACAGCAATTCCATTTTGATATCATGAATATTTCCAGCTGCAGATTCCTCGAGCTTTTGCTCGTTGTGGTCGACTTAACTGGCACGATTTCGTGCTTCCCATTGTCTGCCACATAAACAGTCATGCATTTCATATTCTCCTTTATGGTCGGAGCAAGCCGAAGGAACTATATGTATATATATATATATCTTGTGATCGTTATTAATTATTATTAGAGCGAGCCTTCGTGATTCCACGCAGTAATTCTCTTCGACGGACGTTCTGGTTTGATTATTGTCCCCCGGTTCAAAGTTTATTAAACTCGTTACTCGCACGTTCGCGATTATCATTTACTTGCGTTACATTGTCCTCTTTTATCAGCGACGATCTCGAAGGCTTCTTTTCAAAAGAACTAGCTATTTTGTAACAGCGAGTTTACAATATTCGAGCAATTTTTCTAAAGGAGGGAATTTTTCAGTACAAAAATTTTCGACGAGAGAATGTTTAAGCGTTATAGACCCTCGATATTGGGATCATCCTTCTATCCTCTCATTTTCTATCTCTGGCTATTTGTGGCTAGTGACTTCCATAGTAGTCCCAAAATTAGGGACAATTAGTCTCATTAGTTCACCTGCTGAACACGACTGGCATCTATTCATATTTGAACAGTCACATTTATACCCTACACGATATCGGAATTGGACGGGTGACGTTAGAGATCATTAACCGTAGCTGATCGCTATAAATAAGAATAATAGTAATAGTAATTCATAAATAGCAATAATAGAAATTTCAAAGAAATACGTACTACGTCGGATGATCATAATTTTCAAAATACAGAATAGTCACTGAAAGACTGAATGATATATAAAACAAAACTAACTTTTACAAGCACATGTTTTTTCAATTTTTTATTATTTCATTTGGAAATATAATTAATGGATTTTTTTGTGAAAACTACAAAATAAAAAAGATTGAGTGAATGAACAAGTTATGACTTTTCCCACAAACCCTTCATTTTCCAAGCAAAATCATATAGTTTTAAAAATACGTGACCTTCAATTTTACACATTTTAATGTCAAAACTATCTATACGATCTGCGTATTAAAGGCGTATGTATTTAACACTTACATCTCACGCATTTATTTATTTTTTTTTCCTTTTTTTTTTTTTGTTCTCAGGGATGCTCGTCGCCGCTGGTTGTGAAATTCGCAGATACGCAGAAGGAAAAGGACCAGAAAAGGATGCAACAACTTCAGACGAATCTTTGGAATATAGCAGGAGTCAACATGGCGCCGCATTACCTGACCGTCTGTACCTTTAATATTTCATAACCAACCTTTTTACCCGATATCAAAGAGCCCATTTGCATCGTGAATGGAAATACTTTCTCGTAAATTTATTTCCCTTGAATCTTCAAAATTACAGGCGCATCCAGCGAATCGGCTTGATACTTTTTCTTTTCTTTTTTTTTTTTTTTTCTCGTGAACGCGACGAAAAGAGAGAATAACACCGTGCTAAAAGACAGACATAATCTCTCAATGGGAATTTTAATCTGCCGACGATCCGACCAAGGGGTTTTAATTTATTAATTAGAACGTAATCTCTTCGCGAGAATGACACAGAGATACTTCAAACATTGTAAAAACATTGGAGGAGACGCGCCTGAATCAGCGTGTTATAAATTGACTGACGTCAAATAATTGCTTCTGCAGATAAAATCCGAGTAATTGTCTCTGTGGGAACAGAAAGGAATTAGTTTCCACGATTATTTCAAGAGACAATTTGTTTCAAGGTGGAACAATTATTGATAAATTTGTTTTTTATTGTACGAATTATTACTTATTCGGATATTAATAGAATTTAGACTGATCATCACAATGCGTCAGAATTATAGTCTCAAATCCACAAAGTGGATAATGGCACTTTTTTATAAAAATTGAAGACTTATTTTTTATCCTAGTTTCTTCGACACGACATTTTATTTATGTTGCACCGGTCAGTTGCGTACGCTTGTTCGGTGTCACACGGATACACGGTGTGACACCGACATCAAAGTCCTCGCGAAAATTTCCATTCACACGGATGCATGGTATCGATAGCACGCGCGACCTGAATGGAGAGTCACGCGGAAGAGGCGCAAGAACGCGTTAAGCTCGACGCATTCAGATCACGCTTAACTACGCTCTTGCATCGTGAAACTCGCCGCAAGTGCACGCGAGAATACTTCTATTTATCTTGACTTTCGGGTCAACATTTTACGCCACTTTATTATTTGTTGCAACGCAGCAACGCGCAACAGAGAGAAGCAACAAGATATACTCATGTGATCTTCGTTTGTTCGGCAGAACGACACGCCTGCTTTGGCGCCCGCCTCGCTGCAATTGTTGCAACAACTTCAGGCGACGACGAGCGCGGCGACTCCGGTCGCGGCAGGCACCGGTGCAAACGCGTTGTCCAGCGTGCAGCATCAGTTGCTGCTGCAACAACATCTTGGCCTCGGCGCGGCGACTCCTGCGCACGCGGCTGCCCCTGCTGTGCCAAGCCCGCCAGAGATCAACCCCGCGAATCTTCAAGGACTGGCGACCCTCGCGTCCCTCAGCAACACCGCCGGTGAGTATGGTTGGTGTCCATTTATTTTACATTTTATTTTCGTTCCTCCTTTTTCTGTTTTCGTTCACCTTTGACACACCTGCCAATTCACTTCAATTGATGACGCGTCTGTCTTTTCGACTGATCGTTTTTTTTGTCTCTCGTTTCTTCGTCCATGCCGTTTGCTGTCTTTCTTTAGTGTACAATATCTGTTTATAATTGTAATATTATAATATTTTAATATAATATTATTCAGTAACAGTATAATATTATAATAAACTATACTGTTTATGGTGTTTATAATATAACTATATGACAAACTATATCTGTTCATTATAATGTTATAATGTTATATTATTCAGTAATATTATAATAGTAATAGTATAAATATTATAATATTACTGAATAGTATGATATTATAATATTATAATAAATAGATATAGTTTATTATGGTTATATTACACACTATAAACAGTATAGTTTATTATAATATTATAATGTTACTGAATAATATTATAATATTGAATAACATAATATTATAATATTACAATAAATAGATATAGTTTATTATAATATTGTAATGTTACTGAATAATATTATAATATTATAATAGTAATAGTATAAATAGTATAATTTTTACTGAATAATATAATATAATATTATAATATTGTAATATTATAAATATTATAATATTGTAATATTGTAATATTATAAATATTATAATATTAAACAGATATAGTTTATTATAGTCATATTACACACTATAAACAGTATAGTTTATTATAATATTATAATGCTACTGAATAATATTGTGATATTATGATAGTAATAGTATAAATATTATAATATTATAATAAAGAGATATAGTTTATTATAGTTGTGTTATACACTATAAACAGTATAGTTCATTATATTATAATGTTACTGAATAATATTGTAATATTATAATAAAAATTGCATTTTCATCGCCCGATATATGTACCATAACGTTCGTCCTCATTCACTCATATTATCGTTGTTTCGTTTCGTAAGTTTTCCGCACGTGGCGGCCATAGTTCTGGTGTATATTTTCCTCGGGTTGTCTCCGCGAGAATAAAACTGTTCGTTTAATAAACGTCGGGAAGCATGCCAGTGTGTAATGATCGTTGTAAATGCCTGCTATTAGCATCCATGTTAGAACGCGTGTTTACTATTTATTACCGAGAAACGTGTGGTTATTCGACGACACACCAGAACTTACGTAATCGTATCGTCGGGCAAACATAGTATGCGAAATGATACGCTGTCGTCCTCTACTTCTTTTTCTGTTCCTTCCAATTTTCTTTTTTCTTTTTTTTTTTTTTTTTTTTTTTTTTTTTTTTTATATGGATAGAGAATTTATTAGAATTTTGTGCAAACTCCAAGCTGAACTTACGATCTGCGTAATTTTTCAGGAATTTAATTCGCGACTTGATATTTCGTTGCCGCAGTTGTTCTTTCGCAGTTTGCGACCAGACGAAATAACCAACGAAAATATGTACGACAGAACTTCCTGCTAACAAATCCAGCCAATTATACTAATTACAAGGATTACGTAACGAAATATCGAGTCGCGTGTTTCCTCGTGCCGTGTTTGTCATATTTGTGCGTGATTTGGAATCTAATCATTGTGTGTGTGTTGGGTTATGTACGTTGCAGCGAATGCAGGAGTATCGCCGATGAGTATGCAAAACCTGGTCACCCTGGCGGCCATGACAGGCGGAAACGGGAACCTTCAGGTGTCACCAAACAGTGAGTAAAAAAAAAAAAAAAAAAGACAACTTGCGTCGTGACACGGGCATATATATGTGTAATACGTATGAACGTGATAACGTTGAAATATCACTTACTATTGCGTACAATTTGGTTACTATGTGCATTTGTGTTTCTCGTTTCTAATAAAGAGACAGATGACTGATCGTTAATTTCGAAGAGCCGTGCTTCGCAAAGAAACAAAGAAGAACGCTTGATATTAAGGGGATAGGACAGTTACACACTAGTGATATTTTGAAGAGCTAGTACATATTTGATTGACATGAGCTTTGGTTTTAACACGTTATGAACTATAGAAAGCAACATTAAAAGAGAAAAAAAAGGGTTCTATAACTTTTTAACAAGCATCCTTTTACATAACTTTTTTTACATTGCCTATCGGTGTGCATGATTCCATCCAAACAGGATTAGCTGCAACAGAAAGGCAGGAAAAGTTCAAAAGTAAACAATATTCTGTAGGGATTGACGATCCAACATTTTTAATTTTTGTGAAAAATTATGAAAATGGCAGTTACTTGTTTTTGATGTATCGAATTTGTACCAAAAGTTTCTACGTTTTTCGTTTATATTATTATTCAAAATTGTTAAAAATTAAAAACTGTTCGATCGTCAATCTTTAGTAAATGTTAAAAGATAAAAGATACGTGCCAAGTTTCATAGTAATCGGTTGGTTAGATTTCGAGATATCTTGCACACCGTTTCTAAAAACCTGGTTTCGTGAAAAACGCGTTTGAAGTTTCAGAACGTCATTTTTCACATGTATCCTTTACTTACTTTTTTTACTTATATATCGCGGCTCAGAGTTCTTACAATTCACAACTAAATTGAGTCCAAGTCTCCTTCGATATTCGATTCAACAAAAGTAATATTTGAATCGCACGATTTACACTTTATATACTGCTCAAAGTTGTAGACAGTAATACAAATTCAATTTATTATTCTGTATCCACGGATTTATTATTATACCCCAAAATAAGTCGTTTTTCTAGGATCTTTTGTATCTTATTTCTAAGACTTCAAACTACTATTTAAAACAAAACAAAAAAACAAAAAAAATCAATTTTTTGAAAATTTCAAACTGTCCTAACCCCTTGAATTTGAAAAAAAAAGAGGAAATAACAGCATGATGGAAATCACATGGTTCGTTCCTGTGATTAAATCGTATTGGTGGAATATTTGACACGTATTTTATACGACGTTGATTAATCCGACGGCCATTAATCGTAACTTGTTACGTTTCGTATCGAGATCGTTCGTATTTTATGTGCGTGTGTGTATGTATACATAGTATACCTTCATTTGTGTATGCATGAGATTTATCCGTGTAATGCGAATCGTCGAGTAGAAAAATGTCAAACGTGTGAAAAGAAAATTTGTTTCTATGGTCGCGTTCATAAATTCTGGAAATGAGAATCTTCTCGAGATTTAATCTTCGACGTTTGCCGAGAATTTCTGTAAAGACTCGTCTTTTCCAAATCCAAAATTAACGAATCGTTTCATTTTCTGTTTGTCACTTACATTCGTTCACTTTAATTCTGTCCTCGTCTTTCGTTTTAACAGCGATCTCGATCGTCGATCGTTCCACGTAACGATCGACGACATCGCGCGGCACGACAAATGCGTATCTTATATTCGTAGCATACTCGGCTAAGTAACTTTCGGCCAAGTTTACGTGCTGAATATGTAAACACGTTACTAACTCCGCTTGTTAATATCGTGAACGTGTTCTGTGTTTCAGCGTTAAGCGGACTGGCGAATTCGACAGCAGGTATGTCGCTATGTACGTGTCGCCTTGCCTGGTATAGTATTAACAATTACTAAATTAAATCTCGGCCGTTCGACTTTTCTAACTCTTATCTCTTGCCTCTATTCACTTGTCTCAGCACATTTGGTTCGCTTCAAGAAATTTCGGAATGTCTGCGATAGATGCGATTTACGAGTACTGGGTCTTATTGTTAGGGAAAGAGCTCGAAGAAAAATGGCGTACAAAAATGGTACAAACGAGTTTTTTTTTTTTTTTTTTTACCAGTTTCGATTACAAAGCTTTTGGTGAAATTACTTTGATAATGTTTTTCTTCTCTTCTCTCCAATTTCTAAAAGAACCATTACGTGTACCATTTTTCCACTGATCTCTTCGTCAACGTGACGGTAACCACATACTCACTGTCTAATGACGAGTGTCTGTGGAAACGATTTTAGTTTACGTCACGTTGTTACGTGTTTCAGTTGCGTAAGAACGATTTTATATTTTATGTTCCTTCTCTGATGAAAAGGAAATCTTTTTTTTTTTTTTTTGTATTCTCTAAAATTAATGTTGCGTGTTGGGCTTTTTGCAAGTCGATATTTTCATTGGTCCACATTTGACCTCCATTCGTTAATGTACGAAAGTATCGTATATTTGAACAGACTTGTGTTACCGATGTTACAATTTGCGTAATTTTTAATATACCAACGCACCAAAAGCTATAAACTGCCATTGACGTATTCATGCTCGTACTCGCACACGTGTCGCCACTGTATGTAGACATGATACCAAGTTCCATCACGCACATGTATATCTCTGGCCCTCGCATTTTCGTCCCTCTTCTCGCAGAACATTTTGACTTCAACATCGTCGGAAACACCCCTCCCCCTCCCCTGCATTTACTCGCACACCCAAGACGATCACTTTGATCGAGCAACAACAAAACGATTTCCATAAGATTAATTAACGTTATTAAATTGAATTATCACGCACACGTTCGCGTGCAACAAGCACTTAACAAACGATTCTCTCGTTACCTGCCGCACGATGCTTCTTTCTTATGTACTTATGGTTGGCCATTGTTAAAAGAAAGTCGACGACGCGCGTGCCTTTCGATTTTTTGCAAGATTTAAAAAGATTAGCGCAAAATCACGCGACTAATCTCCTCAGTGACATTCGTTCAGAATTGCATATCCACTTGTTTTCTCTCCCCTCTTCTTTTTATATAAACGCACGTCAGCGTTTTAATGTGCACATTTTTTTTTCGTGCGCAGCTGTCCTTCTTGGAAAAACCGGAAACACAGGTGAGAAGAAATCATTGAGACTGTTAATAACGACATTTCTTTTTTCTTTTTCTTTTTCTTTTTTTTTTTTTTGATTTGTTCGAAGCTACTTTCCGTTTCATTTTTCTTCGTCTCCTTTTTTTTTTTCTTTTCTGGCTGCATTCGTCATTTTGCTGCGTTCACCTTCCCGCCACTGGATGTTTCAGAATTACGAGCCAAGGAAACAGAAAGCGAAGAGAAGGATATTTTTATTTCTTACAGTTAGTGAAACTGTAATTTATACGTCACTTGTTGCCAATCGCTTCCTGCGATCGTTGTCTGAGTAATTCTGAAGCATTTTACACATTATCATCTCCCTTCTTCGTGCATATATCTTCACGTTAGATCTGTAAGCCGAATCGTTAGCTATTTAATCAATGGAACGAAGCTCACCCAATATTTGTCCAACATGTTTCAATTAAGCTTTAATTCATTTGCCCTGTTTCGTAATATTTGGTGGTATAACAGAGAGGTGTCGCAATGAAAGATAATAGTCTTCCGCGATGCTTACACATGCACTTGTGTGTATATATATATTCCAAAATATTCAATTATATATATATATATTATATATATGTATATATTTCAAAATGTTCAATTTTATATATATATATTATACATATATATATTTCAAATATTTAATTTTATATATATATTCTAAAATGTTCAATTTCATATATATTATATATATTATATATATATATTCTAGAATTTTCAATTTCATATATATTATATATTTTAAAGTGTTCAATTTTATATATATTATATAATTTATATATATATATATTCCAAAATGTTCAATTTTAAATTTAGGTGAGCTACGAGAGCTAAGCTGTTTAAGAATCTTCAATAACAAAGTTTGTCGATGCCGATGGTATTTAAAACCTGATGCCTTTTAGTTTTTAACGATCGATAATTGTTGATTGGTGTATATCCATGGTTAATAACGTGCCACGAGTTGACCCTTCGTAACGAAATTTCAGCCTTGAAACTCCTTCTCCCCGAATTTTGATCATAGTTTGACAGAAACATAGTCTCTACCGGCGGCTGCCGCGCAATTTACACTATATTTTCGTAGATGTTATTCACTTTTCAACACCTTAAATAACACATCGTCGTGCACATAATCGCTTCTCGCAATTAACGATGTACTTAAAAAAAAACTCCTGCGCGTTGGAAACGTTGCATCGTAGAGAAACAAAACGGAAAACATACCTTCTGAAATTAACTGCGGACGAAAACCACTTTACTCGAGTAAATTACTGTACAAACTTGCTTCTAGTAACTATCCGACACGCGTTTACACGATTAACAAACAAGATAATCAACTCGGCGTAATACCAGCTATTCTCTGTTCTTTTTTTCTTTCTTTCTTTCTTTCTTCCTTCCTTTTTTTTTTTTTTACGTCAGAGGTACAGCATGAAGCATGCCATGAAGTCGGGGAATTATCCTTTTTTTGCGATGACAGCGGGCAACAAGAAGCGAACAGGCGTAAAACGATTGTTTTATTGCGCTGTTGTAAAAGTTCGATCGAACAAAAAGAAAGAAAAAAAAAAAAAAATAAAAAACACAGAGAGACTCTCGAGAAGTGAAATTAAGTAATCGAATTGATTTCGACTTTGAAGGGTCCACCGGAGGTAGCCTCAGTCCTGTGACGTCCCTAGCGCTCAATTCACTCACGGGGACACCTCTAAATGGATTGCAGGACTCTTTGAGCAACGCCTACTCCAGCTTGCAGCAGTACGCAGGTAAGCGGGCAGAACCATCAGACCGATCGGTTTTTTTTTCTCTTGACTTGGCCGAAGAATGTCAATTCTTGGTCAATTTCAAATTCATGGCAAATTAGCATTGTTTAACTTGCACTAATGGTTTGCTGGTGAAGTGCTGTGTTCTAACGAGTAACTGTGCGCCTTAAAGCTCTCATTGGAAAGACGACGGTGACCGTGGAAAAGAAAGAATTACATAGTGAGTAACTAAACGTACACGCACACAAACACACGCAGAGAAGTGGAATGCCTGAGTTTTTTTCTTTTTTTTTTTTTTTCTTTTTTTTTCATATGTGACGCGCACGTAATTGCCGGGACTACGTTTTCTGTTTGCGGGTCGATTTGCACGTGATCAAATCCGTCATAAGTCCGCAGAGGTGGTAATGCGCAAATACACATTTAATTCAAGCCAAATTTACACAACCTACTGTTATCCTATTATTATTTCTCTTTTTTTCTTAAATTGGAGGAAACTTTACAGGGAGAACAGAACAGGAGTTGCCGATTTAAATTCACGTCGGACGAAACGTTGAAGTTTTTTTCCTTCCTTTTTTTCTTTTTTTCTTTCGAAACGTCTTGCGCATGACCGCCATGTACAAATCCTGCAACTCACAAGATACGCAGTTCCTTCGAAAACATTATTGAAAATACTACAGACGAGTAGTGTCACTGCCAGTGAACCATGTTTCGTTGCGTGCGTTTCGTTAATTGAGAACAACGCAACGAGGCCGAAAATCACAACCGATAATTCAAGCCGGCAATCGAAGAACCATACACGCGGCTCTCGAATAATATCGGTGGCCCATAATCGTGAGTAGAACGTTCGCGTACATTCCTAGAATGCGAATCTCGTGGGATGACGCGGGAGGAAATACGACTCGTAGCTGAATGTCAACGATGAATGGGAGGGGGTTGAAGAAATCGGTTGATGACCGAATTTTGTGGTTGCAGGGTTCCCGGCGTTCACGGCGGCGGCGGCGGCGGCTGCGGCTGCGGCCCAGAAGGCGAAATTCACCAACACCGACAAGCAGATTGAAGGCCCGGAGGGCTGCAATCTGTTTATCTACCATCTACCGCAGGAGTTTAGCGATACTGACCTCGTCTCGACGTTTCTGCCGTTCGGCAACGTCATCTCCGCCAAGGTCTTCATCGACAAACAGACGCAGCTGAGCAAGTGCTTTGGTAAGCTGCATTATGCGAGTATAACGAATCGTTTCTCTCGTTGGTACGCGTGGTTTACGTACGCAGTAAATGATCATTGTACGAGTTTGTACGAGTTTTACGATCTTCAATCTCAACCTTTTGCGCTGGAATGACTTACGCCACGCGCGTCGAGAATCGTTTTGTCCCAAATTGCAACATTTTCTCAGTTTTAAGGGGGGCAGGACAGTTTGACGGGCCTAAAAATTACGAATACGTTGGAGGGCTGGTGAAAATGAAGTATATATATCATATTTGATTGACATGAGCCTTTGTGGTTTATTTTACATTGCGAACTATAAAAAGCAACATTAAAAGAGAAAAAAAGTGGGCTTTTGTTTAACTTTTTAACAAGGCAATCCTTTTACATAACCTTTTTTTGCATTGCCTATCGGTGTGCATGATTCCAGCCAAACAGGATTAGCTGCAACAGAAAGGCAGGAAAAGTTCAAAAGTAAACAGTATTCTCTAGGGAATTGGCGATCCAATATTTTTAATTTTTGTGAAAATTATGAAAATGGCAGCTGCTTGTTTTTGATGTTAAAAATTAAAAAATGTACGATCGTCAATCTCTAGTAAATGTTACTAGTAAATGTTGCTAAGGATACGTACCAAGTTTCATAATAATCAGTTGGTTGGATTTCGAGATATCTTGCATACCGTTCCTAAAATCTAATTTCGAGAAAAAACGCGTTTAAAGTTTCAGAACGTCATTTTTCATATGTATCCTCTACTTACTTTTTTTTACTTATATAGCTCCAGAGTTCTTACAATTCACAACTAAATTGAGTCCAAGTCGCCTGATATTCGATTCGTCAAAAGTAATATTTGATTCACGCGATTTACACTTTATAATATTGCTCAAAGTTGTAAACAGTGATACAAATTCAATTATTCTGTATCCGCGGATTATTATACCCCAAAATGAGTCGTTTTAAAGACTAGGACCTTTTGTATCTTCAAACTACTATTTGAAACAAAACAAAAAAAAAAAAAAATCGATTTTTTGAAAATTTCAAACTGTCCTTCTCAATAATTTCTATCCAGTGATATCGTGCCGACGAGCTCAAAAAAGAAAGCGACAAATTATTGTATACGGTTCGGTCACTCGTTATGGTCCGCAATTCAGTTGCCAGCGCAAAGTGGTTAAAAGCGATCGTATCGGCCTGATTGAGAAGAAAACGGAGATAGTCGCACACAGTTAACGGCCCTTCGCAGGCCGCAAAGTCGCGATATTAATGCTAAAATAATTACTTGCAAGACAACGACGCATGATTTGCAGGTTTCGTATCGTACGACAACGCGGCGAGCGCGCAGGCAGCGATCCAGGCAATGAACGGTTTCCAGATCGGCATGAAACGGCTGAAGGTCCAACTAAAACGATCCAAGGACGCGTCGAAGCCCTACTAGCCGACGTCCCTCATCGTTCGTAGGTAGATACCAAGGACTTCTCTTGGATACCACGGCTCGGAATCAACGACCTTGGTGTCCTTGCTCAAAAAAAAAAAAAAAAAAAAAGAAAAATTCACAATTATTGATAACATTCGATAAATCTCGCGACGTCGATCATCGATCGGGAATGTTCCTCGGTCTGGATGGATAGATAGATAGATAGATAGATAGATAGATAGATTAAACACAGGTAAATATAGGTAGATAGTTATTTTCAAATGACCAAAGTGTCCAGCAGTCGTGTTGCCAGCTCAAAAGAGATTGTCTCTCTAGTCTAGTCAAGCGGTATTTTTTCTACGAAGCTCGAAGAATATAGTCGTTGACAATCTTCTCCCCTTTTAGGCGCCATATCGATTTTCATATCGAAATTCTACGAGTTAGAGTTTACGTTCGAAACGAGGCTGTGATAATATTGAAGACTTACTATATCATCATAACTCTGTCCAAAGAATATGTGTGGTTCAATAGATACGGATCGTACATTCTATATATATATATATATATATACACGTATATAGACATATCTAATATATTTTATTTAAAAAAAAAAAAAAAGAAAAGCGCTCGAAGCAGCTGTAAACGAGAATTATAGTTTCCTCTGGAGTTCAGGTTTCTTCGCCTGGTAGTCCGTCCACGTGAATATGCATCACTCTGGTTATTTTTATATCCAGACGATCATAGGTGTCTTTTTCTTCGTTTGTTTGGCTACTACTATACTTATAATATTCGTGATACGCGTGTCTTTCTTTTTTTTTTTTTTTTTTTTTTTTTATTTTTTTTCGTAGGTACTCACCACGTAAGTATATATCGCCGTGACACGCACTTGTATCGTAC